ATCAGCACCCGATACAGGGCAGCAAGGGAATCAGCACCCGATACAAGCAAGCACCTAGGTCGGGGCGCCCAAGACTGGTGTGACCCTGGACCTCGGCAACTCTGAAGCCCAAGCCCCACTGCTCAGCGCTACGGTTATATGCCCCCCATCCAGGGCAGCCGCCCTTGGGCTTCAACTCCCCACCACCCCCGGCCGTGGGGCTTGGGCAGGTTTGGTCTTTGGTCCCTCTTCCTAGGCTTGTGCAGTATTTTTTGGTGCCAGAAGGGGGTTGCGGTGCAACGACATTTAGGTGACTCTTCCCGATGTGAGGAGGCCTGCTACGAGGTGGAACAGAGCAATTGTGGGGGAGGGACACGAAAGGGGGTTGGAGGTGGGCATCCATGGTGGAATGGGGCCCGGTGCTCTGGAGACATGAAAGGAGACCGGGGGAGAGCAACAGGCAGGGACTGCCTGGGGCAGGGGCTTGCAAGCACCGAGTCTGATGCACAGTGCAAGGCAGAGCCAGAAGATGATTCACAAGGTGGAGGGTGGCAAATAGACCTGCAATGACGTTGGGGAGGCTGATGGATGGGCTGGAGGGGGGAGGAGAGACAGCTCAGCACGCTTGGGATCGTCACAGGGACCCCACTGGAAGGGACCTTGCGGGGTCCTCTAGTCCAGTCACCCGCACTTGGGGCAGGACTCAGTAACGCTGACGGGTTGCAGAGAGGTCGCTGTGTTAGTCTGCTCAGTAAAAACAACAAGGAGTCGGGTGGCACTGTAACAATCTGGCTTTTCTGTACCCATGTTGGAAGGCCTGTGCTAGGCCTGAACCAAAGCCGCTTCTGCAGCCAAACTGAAGAGCAGCAGCCATTCCTGTAAGGCCTGGAGTCACATCCTCACAGTTCCATCTAGATTGTATTACAAAGTGTCACACCAGGCTGTGAGGAGGGGACTTTGCCCTGATCGCTCCCCCACTGTCCCCAGATACAGAAACAGATCTCAGGATGGGTAAAGAAAACGTAAGTCCCACCATTCTGTCTGGCAAGACACTGCTTATCCATAGAGAATGTCGTGGAATCCTCGTTCTATGATCATTGTCACTACACTTTCCTATTGTTTGTCCGTGTGATCTCTGGTTTGTAACCATTTCTGTCTGTTGTATAATTAATTTTGCTAGGTGCAAATCAATGAAGGTGGTGGGGTATGACTGGTTAGGTCATTTTGTTATGATTGGTTAGTAAAATTATACTAAAATAATTGGTTAAAGTATAGCTAAGCAAGACTCAGGTTTCATTAGATAAACTGGGGTCCAAGAAGGAGGAGAAGAAGAAGATCAGCAGTGACAGAAGGAAGAAAAGGCGAGAAGAGGACCAGCAGGAGGGGGAAGAAGAACTCACCTCCGAGACACAGCGTAAGACCAGAGAGACCGATATTGCCTGGCCAACGGGGGAAGTCTGCCTGCACCTGGATTAGTGAGCATGACCCTGTGTGCTTAGCATGTGTATTCTGCTTGTTTGGGAATTGTCAGTCAATAGAGGAGAAGGATATTATTGTGTGAGGCTCTTTCAGCAGCTAAAGATCCTGCAAAACCCGCAGGAAGATGCGCCCTGAGCCCTAGGAATTGGGTAAGGGTGGGTGTATAAATTAACAGGGTTGCACCTTGAGTCCTAGGCAGGGGTGGCCCATCCATACAGGTGAACTAGGCAGTCGCCTAAGTTAAATGGGGCACCGAATGGTGGTGCAATATCATTGAGGGGTTTGGAGGTGGGGGCGCCCATTGCATGGTTCGCCTAGGGCGCCAGTTGCTGGCAGCTAGTCTAGGGCCACCCCTGGTTCTAGGAGCTGGGTAAAGGTGTGTGTCCCTACAGTGTGGAAGGGCTAGAGAAATTTGTGCGGGTAACAAAGACTCCTTCTGCTTTTCCCTGACAGGTGTTTGTCTAACCAGTTCTACCAAGCTTTGGGTGCTGGAGAGTCCACAGCCTCCCTGGGCAATTCGGTCCAGTGCTTACCCACCTTGACAGCCAGGGAGTTTTCCCTAATGTCCAACCCGAGCCTCCCCTGCTACAATGAAACTCTTTGCTTGTCTATCCTCAGCCCTAGCCATCCCATGGCAGAAAGGCTCGGCTGAGAAAGCTGAGATCCGGGCCCTGGCTCCCCATAGCGAGCTGGTGTTTGGATTCATGTTTGCCCTGTAAATAAGCTTCCTGGCTGGGTTGTTTTAGAGACGGCCTTAGAAGGTGACCTCTGAGCACGCCGCCCTTTGCAGACGCAGAAGGGGGCGTGACTGAGCCCAGAGGCGTTTCCTGCTTTCAGTTTTGTTTACACACACCAGCCACTTTCTGTTTACACCAGCGAGTGCCCTCCGGGATTAGCTGGCAAGGCGCCAGCAGGGAAAGGGGGGGACGACTCCCCAAGGAGATGGCCTCACACCAAGCCACAGAATGAATAGTGATTAGCAGCAAGCTCTTTGAATGGCAGAGGACACCCCCCCTTGTTTGGGGTAATACCACGATTGATGCGCAATCAAGATATCATTATATCTACCCGCCTGACACCCTCCCGAGCACCTCCCGGTGGGTAGATGGGTTCTAAAGCAAGACTAAAAAGAGAGATGAGGACAAAGTCCAAGCCCTACGCCCGGGTGAGAAATACTGTCCTGCCGCAATGCGTTCCCTCTGGGATCTCAAAGCGTGGTCCAGGCCTCCTGTTCACACTCCCGGGACGTGGCGCATCAGAGTCTAGTCCGGTGGGTCCCAAACTTTTCGGCAGCACATCCCCCTTTTCGATTCTCAAGAAACCCTCAGGCGCCCCTGTGATGTAGTGTTGGTACCTTGCTGGTTGCTAAGCTGGGGCGGGGTGTGACCCCCACTGGCTGCAGCACGGCCCAGCAGGACAGGGGCTCCCAACCTGTCTGACCAGTCGTCAGTCAAAGGGAGGAGTCGAGTTGAAGACATGGGAGGGTGTCTAAAAGCCCCTCCCCCACCTTACGGGAGGGCCGACTGGACCCGTGGTTCAGTTAATTACTTGGACACTAATGACAAAGGGGGAAGGAGTGCGGGCTACAGGGTTCTAACTAGGGACACCGAGCAGAGAGCCCGGCCAGCGCCCATCGCTCCTCACAGCCGTCGATGGAGCCAGCGGGCGCCGCCCGGAGGAACTCTGCCCGGAGTCGTGACACGAGGGAGGAGCGGAAATAGGCCCCCCAGTCGCAGGGAACCCCCCGCCCAGCACCCTCCTCCTGGGGCTACAGACGGCAGCTTTCGCCAGGGCAGGAGGGTGACGAGGCCTCGCGACTCGGGGGCCACGGATGGGTGTGCGTAAATGAAGAGGGGAGGGGAGAAGTGCAGCCAGACCCTCAGCAGGAGGTTCTGGAGGAGCCGGAATAGGGGCTGCAGCGTGGGCCAGGTTCTCCCTCGCCGCAGAAGGGGCAGGTGTCCGGGATGGGGTGAACCGCGCCAGGTACACGCCCGTGCTCACGGCCCCGTGGAACTAAGGTGGAGCACACACCGGCCCATCGGGGTCCCCACCCTCCATAGGGCGGAGGCCAGCCCCTGGCTGGGGGCAGGGCTGGAGGAAGTGGGAAGTTTCTAGCTAGTTTCCTGGAGGAAGCAGCCTGGGCAAGGGGCTGGGATTTAGGGGCCAGGCTCCCCCATCGCAAGGGGGCTGAGGCAGCCTAGGCCGGCCCTGTGACCAGGTGACATCGGTGCTGGGCTGTGTCCTGGAGAAGCAATAAACTCCCTGTTCTACTGGCCGGTGGGGTCTGTCCGGGCCATTGTGGGGTGCAGGAGGCGGGGACCCTGACGCGCCGTCACACGGTCACATCTCGTCCGCCCCGGCGCCCGTGTCGAGCCTTGTGCAAAGCCAGCTCCCGGTCCAGACTGGGCAGGGTAACGGGCGGTGTCCCGCTGGGCCCGGGCCTGCTCCCCCTCGTCAGGGGCCGCCTGGCTCGTGCACTTGGATTCCCAGAAAGCCCGTGCACTGGGAGCTGCCAAGGGGAGACGCCAGGCCCTCTCCTTTTGTTTCTCCGCTCCGTTCGGATCGTCCAGGGCCCCTGCTCGTGAGGGACTTACAGAGGCTGCTGCGGCTTTTGACTGGCTCTTGGGATTCGGTTTCGGCTTGATCGTATTTGTATATTTCATTTCCGAGTCCTGCTTGGGAGTCCCCTCCTTGGGCTCGCCACGAGCGCGCAGTGGGAGGGACGGTTCCCTGCCTCGTGGAGCGTGGCCCTTGAGATGTGTTGCTCGGCGGGAGGAGCCTGCACGGAGCTGAACTGGAGATGGGGCGACGGGCCCAGATGCACCCCATGGAGGTGCCGCTCCCCAGCTCACCTGGTGGGCACCCAGGGGCAGAACCTTCCTGGGGCTCCCTGCAGCAGCACACGAGCGCGCAGTGGGAGGGACGGTTCCCTGCCTCGTGGAGCGTGGCCCTTGAGATGTGTTGCTCGGCGGGAGGAGCCTGCACGGAGCTGAACTGGAGATGGGGCGACGGGCCCAGATGCACCCCATGGAGGTGCCGCTCCCCAGCTCACCTGGTGGGCACCCAGGGGCAGAACCTTCCTGGGGCTCCCTGCAGCAGCAATGTAG